TTTGAAGAAGCTTTTTATTTTGATTTAGTCCCATTTGTTTATTGTTCTCCTAAGTTTCCATTGCCCTAGGAGAAGTATCAGCTACCATTGCTATTAGAGATGTCTGAGATGTTTTCTTTATGGTTTCACAACTTACATTTAAGTCTTTTACCCATCTTGGGTTTATTCTTGAGTATGGTGTCATTGGTGTTCTAGTTTTTTGTTTTTCTTTTGTACTTGTCTAATTTTCCCAACACCATTTATTGAAGAGACTTTATTCCCTATGTTGTACTTTATATACCTGTAGCTATTTTGCAACTGCCAATTTGTACTTCTTAATCCCTTTTCTTTAACAAATATTTTTGTTCAATATTTGGGCATATAACTTAAGCCCTGAAGATGCTAAATTGACATAACCCCTGATTGACATGATATGCAAGAGACACTGGCTTATTTTCTTTGAAAAAAACCTTCCCAATAGTGTTTATTAAAGGTTACTCCTATGCTGTGGAATGTGGTCCTGGAGTCCCACCCCTTTCCTCAGTTTCTTCTCTTGGTGCTTTTTTCCAAAAAATCCTATTCATATTCAGTCCCACTCTGCTCAGGACCTCCAGACTACTGGCCATTGCTAACAGGTTTAAGGCCAAGCTTTCTAGTATAGCCTTTAAGGCCCTCCACCTACTTGCTTTCCAGTTTTTTGCCTATTCTTCACTATGTCGGCCTCATTCACCTAGGAGTAAGACTGCATACCTGCTTCTAAGCAGGCCATTGCATCTCTGTCTCCTCTGGGGCATCACCCATCTCTACCTAGGACATTTGGGTACTCTTACCCCCATTCCCACTGTCTCCCTTTTTCAGAATCCATTTTATCCTTAGAGACCAGTGCAAATACCACTGAACTATGGTACTTTCTTTCCACAAAAGGTTTTTTCTCTTCTACTACAGAACTTCTCAGAATCTTTTTCTTTTATATAACAGTTTTCTGTTATTCAGTAAGTGTTTTGGGGTCAGAAATTGGTCCTACAGCTTTACTCTAACCCATAGTTCCTTAAACATAGTGTTCCATTAATACTGGGTGAACTGAAATTTATAGGAAGCTCTTTAACCTGGGGTCCATGGGTCTCCACGGGATCCATGGATATAATATGAAGTGTGAAGGTTATTAAGCTCTTATCAGATGTTATCTGATTAGGAAGTGGGAAAATGACACATTGGTTTTCACTAACTTCTCACTGAAATGTAACCCTTCTTTCAATTATGAAGGTAGGCCAAAAAAAAAGTAGTAATGGCAATTTCTGTGACTTTGTCACCAGTGGAAATAAAGGAACTTTTATATCACAAATTAGTTATTGTAGATTTCTCAAAATATTATTTATGCTCAACACAGTTGAAATTATAGCAGTAGTAACTAATAAGGTCAAAGCCTAGGTAATTACTTAAAATTATAATAAAAGACATACTAAGTTTTGATAACTATTTCAATATAATTGGCTTCTTTTTATCTACTTTATTTCATATATTTACAAGTATTCTGAGAAGGGTCCATAGAATTCACAATACTGCCCAAAAGGGTCTATGTCACAAAAAGGTCAAGTTGTAAAATGTTCCCACTTATGAATCTGTATGCTATGCTATATGTATCTTTTATATCCCCTTGCTTAGTACTGTTCACTTAGCCAATATTTTATGTGCTAACATAGCCTTGGGTATTGGAGTGGTAACTCTAAGTAAGACAGAAACCTTGAGATGAGAATGAAGTCCAATATACTAAAAAACTCACTGTCCCATTTCTGCTTTTTCTTTTTTTAAAATACATTTTATTGATTTTTTACAGAGGGGAAGGGAGAGAGATAGAGAGCCAGAAACGTCGATGAGAGAGAAACATCAACCAGCTGCCTCCTGCACATCCCCCACTGGGGATGTGCCCGCAACCAATGTACATGCACCCGACCGAAATCGAACCTGGGACCCCTCAGTCTGCAGACCAACGCTCTACCACTGAGCCAAACCAGTTTCGGCCCATTTCTGCTTTTTCCTATTCCCTCAGTCATTGGTGTTTTGAAGTCTCTCCTGACCCAGCTCAATGGTGATTTGAGGCTGGATGCTGAGGCCAAATTTCAGCATATTTGGCCTCATTCCCCCTACCTTATGAGGCCCTCTTTTAAGGAGGTCACTGGATTGGCAAGAAACCTAGGGTAACACTGAGTCTAGGTGGCTAACCTTGTCCATTGCCTCCCACTAGGGTACTTGCCTTACTTGTTCCTGCCTTCAGGGCCTTTCCTGTCCCATTGTCATTCCTGAAATAGATTTCCTCCCTGGCTCCCTGGTGAGATTTATTTACAAAGTTGTTCCCCAGACCTGGTCCTCATTGAATTGTTTAGCTAGCAAAATGGCTGTCTGGCCTCCGCTTCCCCCACTAACTGACCCCTGTGCTCAGGAAAGGCCTAGAGGTGTCAAAGACTGATAAGGCTTAATGTGTTACCCATTCCAAGGGGATTTGCATATTTGACAATTCTACTTTTAATCTCTACCCCCCCATTAGTAAAATAGTAAGTCAGCATCCTAGAAAATGGAGATCACCACCCCAAAATCAACCCTAACTAATACTTAGACATGATTCTAATCTTCTCTCTATGCAATTTTTACAAAATTGAGCTCATGCAATCTTGGTACTTACTCTTCCTCACTTAATATTACTAAGGTATTTTCTCTAGGTATGTAGTACTCTTCATAAAAATTTTATATGATCATATAACAAGATATCTTATGGCTGTGCCATATAGATTACTTAAGAAAAATGTCCAACAATTTTAAAAGATCTTTGATTTCTTTTAGTGGGAGACATTTTACATTTTTATGTAAAAGGTGTTTAGCATATTGGTTTAAATTTGAAGTTTGGACCTCAATCTAAATTCAAACCATGTCTTTCTCAATAGTAATGTGACTTTAGACACATATCTACTTCTTCATCCTCAATGTGGAGATGATACTCTCTACTACACAGGGTGAATATTGATATTAAATTGGGTGGTGTATATGAAGTGCATAGTGACTAGTAAGTCTCCATACATGAGAGCTGCTACTTATTGTTGCTATTAGTATTATTACTACCAAGTTTTTAGCCAAAGGAACAAATCTGTACTGATGAAATTTCAGCTATCATTGACTTGAGATAAGGGACCTATTCATAAAGGTAGAGGGTACTTTTGCTAGCGCCTATTGAAGGTGGGGTTTGGGAAGTGGATCTCCCCCTTGCAGGTTCTTGCCTCACAAAGTTTGAAGAATAACATTTGTGGATTAAAAGGACTTGTTAGGCCGAAACTGGTTTGGCTCAATGGATAGAGCGTCGGCTTGGGGACTGAAGGGTCCTGGGTTCGATTCTGGTCAAGGGCATGTACCTTGGTTGCAGGCACATCCCCAGTAGGAGGTGTGCAAGAGGCAGCTGATGAATGACTCTCTCATCGATGTTTCTAACTCTCTATCTTTCTCCCTTCCTCTCTGTACAAAATCAATAAAATATATTAAAAAAAAAAAAAAGGACTTGTTAGTAAAAGGGTGGAAATTTATTGGAAGCAAATATAGAATCCCATGTAGGGAAGAGTTCCCAAGGGGGTAACCAACTAAACCCCTTTTTTCTAAGGTTTATAATTGCTGTAGTTCTTTGTCTCTTCATGCTCCCTTCTATTTGGACCCTTTCCCCATTTATGACCCTGTGCTTTTCTAATTGGTTGCTCTTTTGTAGAATATCAGCTTCAAAGTCCAAAACCCATGTGGTACCCTCCTCTTTCTCTCCCCCTTACCTTGCAACATTCCTCTATCTCCTGTGAACATAAGTTTCCCTCTTTCCAGTATTTGTCAACATTTCTCTATTCTCTGTGAATGTGTGCTTTTTGGTGGCTCCAAGCCCTCAACTATGCATTTTCGCCCATCGACTCTATTCCTAAGATTCTCTAAACCTGCTTATTTTGTCTTTAGAATTCCTTTCACTGTGAAATCCTGCAAATAGCTGCCTCTTTTTGTTTTTGTTTTAAATCTGGGCCTTTCTTTTCTTTTTCTGTCTGCTAACGTGGCTTTGGTAGCACCTCTATAATACTATAATACACCTACCTCTGCTGAGGCTTCTTTCCTGTCTTGCACCTAAGGAGACTAGAGAGACATAAATATAAGAAGCATTAACAATGCAAGTTGTATCAGTACCAAAATGGTCCTTGGATATCACCTAATGTTTTTGACTAATCACTATCCTCATTCCTGCCCTCAAACAGGTGAGGGGAACTAAAGTCCAGGAAGGGCATAAGATATATCCAAGGTTATAGATTAGGGCAGTTGTAGTGCTTGGCCTGAAACGCAATGTTCTTTATCCTATCCTTAATTTCGTGTTGCAAAGACCAGTGCTTTAGATAATCTAGGCTATAAATCAGAGGTGTAAAGAGGATGCTGCAGACAAGAGTAGGGGCTGGCTAGAGTAGGTGGGGAAGGCTTCCTGGAAGAAACACAGTCAGCACTTGCTTCCTCTTGATAGTAAGCTGCAAATTTGTTTGCCCCTTAGTAAGCATTGCTCTGTTGCTATGTTGTTTTCTCTTTAGTAGTAAGCTGGTTGGAAGCAGGGACTGTGTTATTATTTCCTCCAATATTCTCCCATCCTTGCCATCCAAAATCTAAATTGCTCAGGTTCTGCCCACCTGGAGTTGCTCAGTGCTTAAGTATTGACCCAGGAACCAAGAGGTCATTGGTTTAATTTCTGATCAGGGCATACGCTAGAGTTGTGAGCTCAGTCCCCAGTAGGGGAAATGCAGGAGGCAGCTGATCAATGATGTTCCTCTCTCATCGATATTTCTATCTTTCTATTTCTCTTCCTTACTCTCTCTTTCTAAAAATCAATAAAAACATATTTCAAATAAAATACATTGCTCAGGTTCTTAGCACCTAGTTCCCTCTTCTGTGGTTGAGCAAAGACACTTGTCCCAGGCTCTGCTGAGTACAGACCAGACAACTAACTTGCCTCTTTTGATCCATCCTAGATCAATGTACGTGTGACCACCATGGATGCAGAACTGGAGTTTGCCATCCAGCCCAATACCACCGGCAAACAATTGTTTGACCAGGTAAGGACAGACGGAAGGTCCTGTTGCCCTTAAGTCTTTTTCACTTATCTTAATTGTTCCTACTATAATGCCTGCTTCTTGGGAATTTTTTTTCCTACTCACTCCACTAAGATGGGTCAAAACAAAGGCTAACCCCAGCCTTAATAACAAAGGAGACTACGTTTAACTTTTCCAACCTGCACCTTGGATGGCTCCAATTAATGTTATTCGTGGTCATGAACATTGCAGAATGGAGAAGGGAATTGGGTATTATTCTATGCTAGATGCTCTAAAAATGAGGGAAGAGGGTTTGGGGGAGTACTGGGTGAAAAAGGTGAAGGGATAAAGTGGAAATTGGTAGTTACAAAATAGTTACTGGGATATAAAGTACAGCATAGGAAATATAGTCAATAATATTGTAGTAACTATCTGTGGTGCCAGGTAGGTAGATGGGAACTTGAAATATCAAGGGAACATTTTGTAAAGTATATGCTTGTCTAACCACTATGTTGTACAACTGAAGCTAATGCAAAATAATATCGAATGTAATCTACAATTGAAAAATGAAATTCAGAAAATATGTTAGCACACTCTGAAGATGTAAGTGATCTCTTCTCCATTTTAATAATGAGGCTAAGAAATTAAATAACTTAATTGCATCCAGCTGGTTTCTAGCTGGGATTTAAACCCCACAGTCTTGTTGCTGCACCACATGGCTTCTGTCACATATTCATTGTTGTTTTCTTATACACAAAAACTAACTTATTATTGCTGAGGTTGAATGCTCTTTGTACATTTCCCTCAAAGGAATATTGGGACTTAGGACACTCTTGAAGATGATGAATGCAATAGGAGGGTGTTTCGTCTCCTGTAGTTATGCCATGGAGATGATATTGATGTGGTTATTCCTGTTTCCAATCCAAGTGGTATCCCTTTGCTACAAATCATCATTATCATAAAGAATGTACTATATAATAGCTAGGTGGGGGCCACAGAATCTTTCAACAGTCAAAGACTCTCTAAGGGCCAAGGGAATGTCTCATTTATGACCAGACTTTCAGTAGTGAAAATGTGGTTCCCATTTCCAGTGGCTAGGATTCTTCTAGATAGGCTATTATTCCTTTTCCTCACCAGAGGCTGAGGTCTGACACTGTCCAGGATGTTAGCACTATATATTACCTTGATGCATTTTCCAAGCACTCTTGCTTTCCTTTCTCCTTTGCCCTCAGAGTCTCTCTATAGTCTGAGAACTTCCCTAGAGTTGGGAAGGGAAAGAAGAAAGACAAAATAAGTTATATTTAAATGAGATGATTCTATTCCTATGAATACCTCTGAGTGGTGAGGGAAAGACAATGAGAGGAAGGTGATGGTAAGAGGCTGTTTATTTCAAGCTCTCCTTGTAAAAGGAAGGAAGAGATGGCTGGAAATCTGAGGAAAACTTGGTTGGGCATGCCTCTCTAAGTCCCTGATGTCACATGGTAGACTGAAAAATCATTGTTTATGATGAATACAGATGAGAGATAATGTTTGTTCAGGGCTTACTTTACACCAGGTACTGTGACAGGCATTTTGTATATTATATCATTTGACTATCACAAAGCCCTTGAGTATAGAAATTAGTACTGACCCCATTTTACAGATAAGGAAACAGAATCTTCATTTTCCTAGCTAACCCTTGTGGAAATTACTGAAGTTCTCCTGGTTGGTATTTTCATCCCCACACCCCCCAAAAAGAGTTGGTCTAATACCTAACTAAAAGGCTTTTTTTGAGAAAAAGAGTATATTGTTTATATCTCACTTGTTAGCCAAAAACTTGTTATAGTAGTTTATGATGATACATAAAGTTCAAAAGGATAAATTGGAAATAGCTGCGAATAACAATAAGCAAATACAAAATAGGGAAGAGAGAGTGAGAGAGGAAGGGAGAGACACATTCATTTGTTGTTCTATTTATTTATGCATTCATTGGTTAATTCCTGACCGGGGATCGAATCTGTAACTTTGGTGTATTGGGATGATGCTCTAACCAGCTGAGCTAAACCAGCCAGGGTTAGCAGAGATGTAATAAATGATAACTTCCAAATGCCATGAAACTTTTTGTCTTGTTAATAACATAGATTTGGAGCTTGAAGATCCTCAGAGTATGTAACTTTGAATTTAGCTGTAATTTGCTTTTTCTCTGGAGTTTGTTTGGTTTTGAATAGTGAAGGGTCATCATTAATATTTAGTTTGTAAAATTACAAACAGAGGAACATTTAAACATACACTTACTACAATTAAAGTAATATGCTGACATTCATGTAGCTCACAAGTGATTACAGTGCTAGTCTGAATTACTGAATGCATTCTGATTATATTAAGGCTTTGCATTCTCCCCTTGTATGAAGATTTTTTTTTAAATATATTTTATTGATTTTTTACAGAGATGAAGGGAGAGAGATAGTTAGAAACATTGATGAGAGAGAATCATCGATCAGCTGCCTCTTGCACACCCCCTACTGGGGATATGCCCGCAACCAAGGTACATGCCCCCGACCGGAATCGAACCCGGGACCTTTCAGTTCCCAAGCCGACTCTCTATCCATTGAGCCAAACCGATTTCGGCTGTATGAAGATTTTTTATTAGAGAGCTTTTAAAAGAACAATCTGGTGAAATTGAAAGAGCACTGGATAGTAAGTTAGAAACATTGGGGCCCAGGGCTGGCTCTACTGCTAGTTTTCCTGATAACTTACACAAACCTCTTCTTTCTTTGGGTCTCAGTTTACCCATCTGTACAATGTCTAACTGATCTCTCAAGTCTGGTTATCTTTCAAAAATTTATCTCCAGAATTTGTTTCTGCATTTCATATCTTTCCCATTTCTAACCCACTGTTTGGAGTTCAAATGGCCCCTTTCTATAAAAAGGAGGGGAATGCCTCACTTGAGTATGATTAGCAGTTGGCATATGTGTAGAGGAGGGGAAGCTACCTAGAATGTGGGATATTTCTTTCTGGATAGGCTTCTTAGTGTCTCTGGAACAAAAAGGAGAAAGTGTCCATACACTAGAAGACTGTTTGGACCTTTACTTCAAAAAGCAGTATCATTCTGACAGCTGCTATAGAGGGGAGAGTATCAGTCAGTGTGGATTTTATGGTGCAGCTGGGAACCAGAGACTTCTTTAGACTTTACCCAAACATCTTCCCAGAGCCCTGGTTTTATACCCTACCCCTCTCAAGCCATTGCCTGCCTTCAACACCGGAGGCTGTGTTCATTTGCATTGGAGGGGGATAGATGTGGAGGGCGAGAAAGGCATAATTTAGAGCCGTGGGCAGGAAAATCCTTAAAAAAGATTATTAATTTCAGAAAGCCACAGATCAGAAATTCATTGTTTAATGTTGGTTTGGTTTGTGTACTGTGGGTGTGATTCTGAGGGAAGCCCAGCTGGTAAGGAGCCCTGGCAAGATTGATATGCTAGTTCTGAAAGCTACTACTTCCCAAAGAAAGCCTTTGAGAGACTTGAATCTTTCATACTGGTTGAAGAAAGGAAGGGCAGAAAGCCAAGAAGTTCATGACTTCCCATCTGGAAGATCAGTGATATTTTGAGAAATATCATTTATTGAGCACCTACCATAAAGTAGCCCTGGCTAAGTGCTTTAATTCTTACATGATCTTTCTTAAGGTAAGTGAAGAATACACTCTTTGCCATTTAGTCTGTAAGTTGTGATATGGAGTTCCAAAAATAAAGATTTGACACAATATTTAAGCTTTTCCTCACCGTACTAATCTGCTTAGGGTAAATGAGGCTGTTTGGCTTGGAGAACAATCAAGAGAAGATGTATTCGCTTGTTGGGGTCTCTGAGGAGCTCTTGTAGGAAGGAGGGAGGCAGTCATTTTGTGAGGTAGGAAGGAAACCTGTAGGGAAAACTACAAGGAAACCCTGACTAGTGTGGTTCAGTTGGTTGGAGTGTTGGGTACACCAAAATGTAGTGGATTTGATTCCCTCAAGGTACATACCCAGGTTGCAGTTTTAATTCCTGGTCAGAGCATGTGTGGGAGGCAACTGATGGATGTTTCTCTCTTATCTATTATCTATCTATCTATCTATCTATCTATCTATCTATCTATCTATATCATCTATCTATCTATCTCCCTTCCTCTCTCTAAAATCTATTTTTAAAATCTTCCAGGAAAAAGATTTGAGCATCTGACACTTTTGGGGCCAAGACAAGTCTAGGCAGGAATCCACAGAAGTATGTGTTCACAGGCTTTTGGGGGTATAATTTCTTCCCACTAAACTGATGAGATATAAGGGAGGAAGTTCATTCTGTCTTGCCTTTGAGACCTCTCATTCAAGGAGGTCCTCCCTATGGAACTGGGCCTAAGAGGAAGGAGTTGGACTTCTTGGACGGTTGACAAAAGCTCTGCGGCCATCCTGAAACCAAGCAATTATCTAGCTGATGACCAGAGAGGAAGACAACTGGAGAGGAAGCACCTTGTTGGTACCAGCAATAAATAACAGGCAATTATGGGAAGCCATAGCTTGAGGAAACCCAAGGACTACTGGGAAATGGAATTGAGATTCATAGTTCCTCCACTTTTACCTTTGTTTCTCCTTATGAGTGTGCTCACAGGTAAGGAGGGGAGAGAACATGTTTTACAACAACATTCTGTCACATACCTCTATGTCTAAAGCCTAGAGTTGTTCAGATGGCTCTTGATTATCTAGATGGCATTAGGGGGCAGTGCTACCATCATGAATTCCATTTGGAGAAACCTCTGCTTGGCTCCTTCCAGCCAGGGGCTCTAACTTTGTTTTAAAGAATGCAATTGTGTGTGTGTGTGTGTGTGTGTGTGTATATATATATATATATATATATATATATATATATATATATATATTATTGGTTTCAGAGAGGAAGGGAAAGGGAGAGAGAGATAGAAACATCAATGATGAGAGAGAATAATTGATCTCGCCTTCTTCATGTCCCCCTACCGGGGATCAAGCCTGCAACTTGAGCATGTGCCCTCACCGGGAATCAAA